CGGTAGCATAAGAAGTCACGCTACCAGTCCACCGATTGAGATTGCAGGAGAGCACATCGAATGACGTCTCGTGCTCCGGAAGAAAACGGTGGAATCGACAAATTCAGTAAGAAACAACGAGGAATAAGACAAATATTTACACGACATTGTGTCCGATTCCTGTAAGAATTAAAACATTAGGATCAGAGATTCATTTGTTGCTTAACTACCCTGCCCGCCTCCTTTATAAGGGATGTTTCAGGGCTATCCCAAGTGCGGAATTGAACAAAAGCCTCATGCGGTGAGCGTGGATCGAACACGCGACCTTCAGATCTTCAGTCTGACGCTCTCCCAACTGAGCTATCCCCGCCGCAGGCACTTTCCGTAACCGGGACTCGAACCCGGGTCGCCTGGGTGAAAGCCAGGTATCCTAACCATCTAGACTATTACGGATTGATGTCAGATCTAATTTTTATAAACATATCATATATGTCAATATCTCGAATCATATATAATACTTAGGAATCATTCTTTTGACTACAAGACATCGAGTGCAACTCTTTGATAGAGTGAACATAATAAAACATGAGTTGTTTCTGCTAATCGATCCAGACTACCTTTTGAGTCTGCAATGTAGTCAGAGGCAGTAGCTGTATTGAAACGACAGATTTAAATTCCTTCTACCACCAGATGCTTGCGGTTACGATTCCTTCCGATATTCAAAGAGTTTTCAGCGCCATGCAGTAAAAGGTTCTCCTGCAAAATATTCATCCCGTGGTTTTAGTACACCTTGCCACCAAAGCATCAGATCGGCAAAGGGATTCACCAGGGTCGGATTCGCGGGTCACAACGATCACACTCCGGGACCTCATGTGAACACATGTGCAGGAATGATTCCGAACACACAGGTACAAAGGAAATTAGTCACAACTGAGTGAGACCTTATTTGAAAGTGAAGTAGCATGTCTTACTTGGTCTCGGATTAGATCGAGGCAAGGGATTCAGCCTCGAATACAAGGAGAAGAAAATCTGGAGGCATTGTACCTCTAAGGATATTTCACGCTCTTCTCTTTCAGCGAGATTTGCCAATAGAGGGCCGACTGCAAAGTGCATTTCTGGCGACATTGCGTCTTCAACGCCATGCTGGTGCCCATACGTTGCATGTAGGTACCCGAATGGTGATGGAAGCAATCGAAACCAAGCAGTAACTATATGAAGACCCATACTGCGCCGAGGCTCGAAGAAATTCAGCGTCAGCTTGTCATGCTACATACCTCACATAACTCTCGTTAAAAGGTTCACTCTGTTTACATCATCTGTTATCCAAAACAGCCATTCCAGTCGTCCAAACGACGTCTAAACATGCCTCTCGTACATGCACTTGGCTCTAGAGAGCACGCTCGAACAAGTTTTGGAGATACAGTTTCATGAAGGTAAGGCTGAGCAGCAGCACTTTTGCAAACCAGGCCAGTACAATACACAGTCAAACGATGGAGGGATATTGTTTTCAACTTGTATTTACTCCAGTAGGAGTAGGACGTTAGGACATGATCAGTGAATGCATCGAATGTTCAGCAGCTAAGTAGCTGAAGTATCAAGTCTCGTTATCTTTCTGAAGATTAGTGGCAGTTATTGACTGGAATAATCAGGGGAGGAGGAATCTGAACTTGTAATGAAATACGACATCAGGAACGAGACGGATCCATATGATTATCTACAGAGTGAAGTCTCTGGAAGGAAAGGTGCCTATCGCCGGTGGCGACTGATTCCTGTGATATGCGCAGATCCAAAGAATCGCTGCCTGTATCGCACACTCGGCCAACAGGGCGACTGAAGTCGAACGAAACTATAATACCATCACACACCACGAACATACGAGACATTCGCTCTTCGCATTCCTCCTATCTCAGGAGGCAGAGCATCGACTCTTTCTACTTCGGCTGATCGATTCTGTCGGCGGTGAGGAGGAGGGATATGTGCTGGAACGGATCGCCTCGTGAACAAGACCACGTCTAACATTTCGAGGCTTGACGAGCGAGCAGAGCTTTCGGGGTCAGTGCGAGGGCGTCGAAGAATGTGCTCCAGGCTTCGTCTCGATGAGCCTCGTGACTGACTGACTCACAGAGGAGCCCGTTCTGTTCGTACCCTACTCCTGCGCACGAACGTTCATGTACGGCCTCGAGCTCAAGAAACAGTGCGAGACCGTTACAGGAGATTTTCACAAGCCTTCGAACGAATACTTTATCTTAGTACGAGAATGATATCTTTTTCTTCGAATGAATATTTTATCTTACAAAGGACTGCAATAGTTTTATGCATATCCAATGGGATGACCGATTAATATAGCAAAAGACGGATGTACTAGAAACCAGAAGAGGCTAGCCCAAAATTATCAAAATATAAGGTAATATTGCATACAACTTGTACTAAACATCTAGGGGGATAATCACATGATCCAATTGCTTGTGGTGGTCTTTATGGAGCAGTGGATATCAAATATCTAATATCTCTTGTGGATATACTAAAGAGTAAGAACCCATGGCGCCTAGTGTGGTAACCTTTTTCAAATACATATGGAAATATTTTTACATGGAAAATGATACAGTATTTTCATACTTTAAATCATGTAAAAGTATTTTACGCATGATGTCAATTCTACAGTACTTTATACTAAAGAATATAATTCAAGTGTTTCCCAGTACTAGAACATTTTACGAATTTGTCAATTCAACCCTAAGCTCTCTAGAAAAATTGAATATTCAACTATAGAAGACTGAATTTACTTTCAATATCATAATGAGATTCCATTTAAAATTTGTGGATCTCACATAATCATAGCTCCACATAATCATAATTTAAATGATAAAAAATGAGAACAAACTATAAACAGTATCTTGATTGAAACTACGCCATATATATCCATCCAAAATAATTTGTAAAATATCAGATCATATCTAATGCAAGAGAATTTTCAACCTTAGGGAGAACAAGACTATGATCTATTTTGATGAAGACTTGTATATTACTGAAATCCATCTTAATCCATTTTGGCGAGGGTGGAGTTTTGTGGTTAATTGTCTCAACAATTCATTATGGCCTACTTAGTGAAAAAAATCATTTTATTCTTAATTGTAATTTGATTTGCTTCAGAGTGTATGATGAGTGACTGAGTGGTTATATAACTAGTTGCACACTTGGTGATAGGCTAAGTGTTGCTCTCCATTACAGGGCACAAGTTTGTGTTGTGAAACCTTAAACCGATTGTCCTGGTAAATTGAACCCATTGTCAAGGGTCCAAACGATCTTGGGTTACTCCTCACAGTTCGGTGTTTGTTATGATGTGTATGATTGTATATATATGATATGGTATGAACTTTAATATTATTTCAAATGACTAGGGTTTGGACAGATTTCTATTCAATTGAAACCATATTCTTTCGAAGATAAATATATTTAGTTCAAAGTTAGCACTTTATATTTTGCAGATTTTTTAGATGGAGTGATTATTATGCTCCTAGGTGAATGTAGCAAAACAACTAAAATTTCCAAATATAAAGATATATAAGATAACATTTAATGTATGTAGTTGACAACACATCTTAAAACTCTTTGAAAATATACCTTCAATTTTAGTTAACAAAAATCTCTACTTTGAAGCATTTTCAACTATTTCTTCCCAAGAAACATGGAATGTGTTTAAACCTAAGCCTATCTTAATTTATCTCCAAAGTCCTCTAAGTGGTTATTGACTTTACGTAGCTTTGTCGTCCAATATCAAGGTTGTATCTTCTATCTAATACACATCTAATAGTTGATACATCTTGATAACGGTTTTTATTTACACGATTCACATCAATATCTGAATTTTAAATTGTTTGTTTCTAAAAATTGCTCTATATACACTTTATTTTCCCATTGAAGAATCGAATACAATAATTATCATTTTTCTTTTAAGGCAGTACTCAATTGATAAATAATATTCTAGATACGAAACTCTAAGTAACTTACTGATTGATCAACATTGTTATCTAAATTCCTTATATCTGAACATCTATTACTGTTATTTCTTATGTGATTGTCATCAATAGCTTCATATCATGTGTGTAGATGGTTGAACGGAAGTTAGTATATTGATTTTAATCAGATTTTCCAAAAAAATAATTCTCCTTGAACGTTGTATATTAATCTAGAGTCTGCTTCTTGGTGAATTCCAAAATTAGAACATATGGAATGCACCAATTTAATCCTTTAGCATAAATTCCAAAACAAATACTGTAACACATTCCCTTTTCCCACTTGTTCCATTGCCAGAACCGATGGTTCCTGCATATGGTTCACAACGTGTATTCAAGCTATGGAAGATCCAGATGATCTGAAGGAGATACGATGATAAGTAATAAATCCCATATAAACATGGGATGTCACATCTTTGAATTTTCATTTGTTTGGAGATACTTTGGCGTAATCTTCCTCGCAAGAGAATGTACGAAGAGATACACATATTCAACATCTAAATTATTGCAAATTCCGACAAAGAAAAGGGACAAAAGGAAGAATCGACAAGAAAATTGGTCCAACAGCTAACATCAATTCAAGCAAAGATTTATAGTTACGTAATGTAACACTTGCTGCCAAGTGGGGCTGTCTCAAGAAGGACAAGCCGTATTCCCAGCCTTCTAGAAAACTTAATTTTTTGTTCCACAAAATGGATAATATGATGTGAAGAAGTACAGTACATTCTTCAATAGTTGCCTCTGTCTGGTTAATGCCATCAGCAATGAGTGAAGCCGACCTTCTACTCACAGTTGTATTTGTACTAATTTATACGAATACTAATAAACTCGGAGGTATATACGAAGACGTTCGAGCGTATTCCTACCCGTTTGGCTTTACTGCTCGTTCCTGCACGCACCGGGATCCAAGAGTCATAGGGTTCGGTTCGAAAATTCAAATTCAAATTTTCGAACGTGCTTCGAGCCAGCGTGCGGACGCTCGCCCGCGAACGCTCTTCGTCTCGCGGTCTCGAGGTCTCGAGGCTTTCCACGAGGAGCAGCGATCGATCGGTCCCTCGCCCTTCCATCTCTGCAGGAAATCCGTCTGCAATCGCGCACGGGAGATTGACGAGAAGAGGAATCGCTGGTTGTTGAATCTGTGACAGGAGGGAGCAGGGACGCGGAATTTCGTTATCCGGTGGCGGAGCAGACTTGCAGAACTTGGACGCGAGAGAAAACGGAAAAGATTGTGATTTGATTTGAGTGCGACTCTGTGATTTTCATGCGAGCCCAGGGATTTGGGTTCTCCCGGGTTCCCACAGCCGAGCATTCTTGACAGAGAGCGAGGATTGTTAAAGGGAGTTTGTGGTACAATTCGCGGTGTACTGGACGTCACCGCCAGTGAGGTCGCGAGTGACGGTCTGAGCATCGGACAGGTTTCATGGCAGGGCTTGACTCTATGCGGGAGGCAGCTCGTGAATAGTATGGCTACGGTGACCACCGCTCGGTCGCTTCTGAAGAAGTCGAAGAAGTGCTCGACTGGTTGTCGTGATTTGGATTCATTTTTGAGGGGTGGGTTTCCTTGCGGGAGTGTCACTGAACTGGTGGGCGAGAGCGCTTCCGCAAAAACTCAGCTGTGTCTTCAGCTCTCGCTAGCTGTGCAGCTTCCTGCTTCTGAAGGCGGACTTAATGGAAGTTCTCTCTACGTGTATACGGAAAATTACTTTCCTTTTCGGCGTCTTCAGGAAATTGCTAATCATATGGTGGCGACGAGACGGAAAGAGGGTCGTCCATTCGCTTCAAATGATCGCTCTCTGAGACCTCTGAATGTAAATACTTTGGCGTCAGGGAAGTCTTTCTGCCCCGTCAAAGCTCGAAGGAATTTGAACACAGCCGGATCTGCATCTATGGTCTGCGAAGGAGCCTCGAATCCTTGCAACAGGGTGTTCGTACAGGGAATTCAGACGGCTGACAATTTGCTGGAGTATTTGGACTATCTGTACACTCTATTGATACATCCATTCCTTCTTCCTGTGAAGGTCATTGTTATCGACTCCATTGCAGCACTGTTCAGGTCTGACTTCGACAATACTGCCGACGAGATGAAAGTCAGGGTGTCTTTGTACTTCCAAGTTGCCGCCAAACTGAAGAAATACGCTGAGGAGTTCAATCTGGCGGTTGTGGTGACGAACCAAGTGACAGATTCTTTCGAGCCAGAGATGCCCTTGAGCAAGAGCCTGTTTGGAATGAGCCGGACGCAAGATTCTGAAGTTCTTGTTACATCCGGTCGAAGGGTTGCTCCGGCATTAGCTCTTTCGTGGACCCATTGCATCAATTCGCGCCTCTTTCTGTCCCGAAGCTATGGGAGCGGTGATCTCGTGAGGCGCTCTATGCGGGTCGTTTTCGCACCCCATCTACCGACTGAATCGTGTGACTTCGAGGTCACTTCAGAAGGTGTCCGAGGTCTGTCCATGAAACTGTCGAGTACGATTACAGGAACTCCTCCCAAAATTCGCACGGATCCAAGTCCAACCTCGTACTCCGACCACAGAGAGCTGGCTCGAATTCCTGTGACTCCTCCGCGTTGTGATCTGCATAGTAGCGATGATTGCCCTTCCAGTTGTGATAGATTATTCGAGATTTCTCAGAGCCAACGGGTAGTCGAAACTCCTCCATTCACTCCTACGAGGCGGAAAGTTGATGTCATAGGAGAGACAGCACGGAAGGAAACCATCACTCTACAGCTGAAGCTCTTCCGGTGACTCCAGATGATGACCTCCGGCACGTCCAGATGTGCCTGTGAGTCAGGACAGTACTCATATCATAAGAAGCACTTGGTCAATCGTCTATCTCAGGTATATTCCTCTGACCTGCTCGACTTACGCATGCTGCGAAATCATTCATGTTCAAATTTACACAAAATCCTTCTCCTGCTAACGACTGCCTCGGTTGCAGATTGTCTCGACACCTACTCAAAAATCTTTGAGATATGACTTAGGATATGGCCGCTCTGCCCACATCTGCTTCCAGCCGTGATGATAATTTGTAATTTAGGGTTATGCAATTTGCTATTCTGCCTATCTCCTGATTATTTAGCTCCTTTTCCATATCAACGCATCGAATCCCTATTCTGATAATTCAAGCAGGAAAATAAACTTCATAAACCAGGTCTAGTATCTGACTCAACCCATTCAGGGCAGCAATCTATTTCAAATTCTTGTCCGAAGTTCTATTGCAGATGTAGGTGATAGGAATATATCTAAAGAGGAATGTGATTACTTGAACGATCTCAGTCATGCTGGATCGACTTACCAGGATATCATCGTTTAGATTCATGCTAAGTCCATATCCTGTGTACTATATATACATGACTCTGGACTTTCAGTGGCCCAGCGAAGTCAAAGATTGATTCATTCATGTGACAATAAAGTTTCCATCAGCTTCAAATGATTTCCATTTACAACGCGTATGAAACGATCCATCATGCAGATGGCTTAGAAACGGCGACAACTATATCCTCAAATGTGATGACTGTGTTATAATAGCTTGAAAGAAGATTAATTGTCTGCGTCTATAATCGTTACACTGAACATTGAGGCCAACAATAACCCATATCTAGAAGGGAGCAAGGCGTTTGCACCGTGGACTCTTCCCGTTTGTCATTTAGATTGGTCCATCTCGGATTCATGTTGCTACAATGTAACTACTTCATTACTGCAGGGTGGGCCTATTCCACGCGCTTTTTGATACCTCACTTTCAATTCTGGGTGAAACTGAAAGTGAGGTCCAGTTTTGATTAGAGCATGCCATCTGTGATCATGGACATACGGCGAGCGTCATGACCCCTGGCCGATTAGTGCCGCACTTGGGTACATGGTCACACAACATGCCGCGATGTGACTTGTTTGAGCATTTCTGACCTGCTCTTTGTCATATGTGGATCTCTTGCCTTCGATGGATTAGTATCCTTTCTTCGACGCCAAATTGATCGCTTAAGTCAAAGAGGTCGGATGATCACATTGACGAGGAGACACGGTATCGGAAGGATGGACATCGAGTTAGAGAAGACGGATTTGTCTCATGAAACTGAAGGTAAGACTTGCCGAAGAATGCAATTGTGCTTCGATTACTGAGACATTGCTGGAGGGAATCTGGAAGACCAACGGGCATATTCAACAAATTCGAACTGCCCACAGTGCCCAAGTCATCAGGTGCGGTTTGACTCAAATTTCCAGAGTTCCTTTTATGCGAGAAAGTGTAAGAACTTCCAAACGACAACTACCGAAAGCGGTGGACAGATTCCCAGGTTCCAGCCCCAGACAGAGCCTGAACACACAGTCCCGAAATTCTAAACAAACCAACACACCATCCATCCCATCCAGAAATCAACGATCTCGACAGCAACGGAACGAGTCAAAGCTGTACGCCATCGCCGTCATTCTCCACGGACCCGCACGCTGCGGTCAATGATAAAGCCACCATGAAGCTCCAGACCTCCTCATCGAAATCGTTGCCACCATTACTGGCAGCTTTCAATCTCATCCCACCAACGCCAAGAGAGAGAGAGAGAGAGAGAGAGGGAGAGGCGGGGAGGTTCAATCGCCCTTACGAGACAGAAATGGAGCGAGAGAGGAAACAGACGCGGCGAGCGGGGGCGCTGCCAAACTCGCGACCTCCACAAGCTCGCGATCCAGAAGCTGGGAAGCGAAGCGAAGCGCATTGGGCCGTCGAGGGGAATGCCATCGTGCCCATCCGACGAGACGAGAGATTCCTCAATCCTAGCACGTCGAGGTCCGAGAATTTGGTGACCCTGAGGTCTGACATTCACTTGCCCCACGTGGCGGACGGGCCATCGCTCTGACGCCCCCCCGTTGACGGGCCCGGCCGTGGAGCGCATCTTCGGGGTCTCGAGTGTGCCAGGGCGTGGAGAAAACATGCCCGCTCGTATTTATTTATTTATTTCTTCAAAAATAAATAAATACATACATTTTGGGTACTTTTTCTTGACTAACGGGATCTTTGCATAGTGTTGAGTTACCACTAAAAGTGCACGTGACCCGGTGATACGAGGATGACATGATCCGACCTGATACATACATGTTTATGAGCGACGATTATCGTATAGAATATAATCTCATATTTATTCTATCACCAGTGGGTGCATTTGGTCTAAATATACATATTGTTGTTTACCATGGCGTGTAAAAATGGAAATTTTATTTTATTTTAGATGATGACTTAGAATCTATTGTTAACATGTTTCCATAGTTGCCTAGCTTTTCACGGCACACGTGACAAAGGTTGTGCACTCTTGTCAACTTACTAACACATTCCAAGTACGCTTGGAAAACAAAAAATATCATGTCACCGTATGCGGTACGAAGTTCCTAATGACAACTTATATCGTGTAGCTTGGTGGGGTCAATGTTTGCTTTGGCATAAATAACGTAGACTGAATCAGATAATTAATTTCCAACAGAGATTCGTGGACTGAATCTGATACTAAGCTACATGTCCTGAAATATTCGGACTTTTGAAAACCATTTCGATCAAGACAGGTTTGCATTCCCCTTAAATTGTAAAGAACGAATCGTCGAATTATTGCCTCTCATCTTTAAGCTTATGCCACTTGGTCACAAGCACACACTGAGAATGTAGATGCACGGAGGGGCACATCGAATTTATAGAATGAATTACAATCTCACGTTGGCATGGCTTGTAAGCATTCTCTATCTAACGGCGAAGTATGAGATGCGGAAACAGGAACACATCTGGCTCCTACACAGAAGGCGCAAATGGATGCGATGGAATGGAGCACAGCGACGGACACACATGCTCTCGCCCATAGCACCAGACAGAGGAACAAAGGCAAGACGCTCGGAATTCTCTATGGCAAGTATCCTCGAATGGTGCACGACCTCCATTGTATTATTTTATGTTTTGTTGCTGACTTTTCTTGATATAAGCAATGTGCTGCATGTTATCTTAAGTTTTTTCCAATTCCATTGAACCCTACAGTCTCTGCATGATGAAACTTTTCATGAGCCTTGAGCAGCTAAACACAACGTAATGAGCATGTTTGCATTAGCACACAATAGTAACCAAATTTTTTGTCACCTGCTGTACACCTAAAGTACCACGTTTTCAAAAAAAATCCAAAAGACTTCGAATTTTTCTATGCGATGGCCGAATACGTATCTATGTCTTCGTTGTGACTTCCGATAGCTAATTCTCTGTACCGTGTGTGAAAAATGGCTCATGAATTATGAAATCTTGCATGTAATGTGAATAGAAGATAACTTGAAGCAAGTTCAGGCGATTTCAGTAAACGAATTTTTACCAAATACGATCTTTAAAGAGATAAATGAAAATTTAATACATTGAAAAACAGCTTTAAATGGAACGGGATTTGTAGAAAGTCACACACAGTCTTCTTGTCCTAAGTGAATTCATGTAATTCAAATTTATAGCGCAAAAAATGAAAAACTTACATGGAGAAACACATGGATCGAATCAAATGAGAAAATTGGTAATTATGTCCAGTGACATCAATGATGTCACTGGACATAATGAAGAAAGTATTAAACGATACATAAAATGTCTCCGCTATTCGAATTGAAAGATTCATGAATAACATGATTGCAATTCAAGAAATTGCTCCAGCTAGGTATATCTGAGCAGACAATACACTTTGTCTGAACATTACTTATATAATCATACACTATACTTATATGATCCTCTTTCAAACATTCTATCATACACATGTACAACATGTGTAAAAGAAATACAGGAAAACATTAAAGTTACACCATGATAGAGTTTAACTCCGCAAACCACGTAACTGGAAATACATGCCAGTGCAGTTTCAGTCCAAGTACATCAAGATGATGGACAATGAAGCAGATCAACAACTAGACATGCCATTACAATGTGTGCAACACTTTCATGGTTCTCTCAGTACATGAAGGTATCTGAGTTTAGATTTACCTGACCTTGATTTGGATAGACGAGACTAACCAATGCTCGCGGTGGATATCGCTTGAATTATCCACATTCTCGTGTGGTAATTAAAAATAACCTTTTCAACCACATTACAGATGAGATTCTCAATCAGTCCAAACGAAGAAAAATTACATGAATGCATGGTCCATGGGGAGCTCAAAGCTCAAAGCAGCAAGTGTGAGAGCCAATCCAATGCAAAACATGCTCCATCTGAAATAGGTGGTACCCAGGGGAGCAGGAGATACAAATGTGTGAACGAGCCCGAGGCGAAGGCATGCATGCTATATTTGCAAAGGTTGCAGGCGAAGGAAGCCTCGATGCTTGGCGAGCAAGACATCGCCAGATTCTCATCAATGCCCCGGAACCATATGCTGACCCCGAAGTAAATCGGGCTTTCCTGATCCCTGGCAGTCAATGATTGAGCTGCATCCGAAGATAGTCGCCATTCCCCGAGCTCGTGCCTGACAAAAGTGGCAGCATATAAATAAGAACGGAAATAAAAATTCCGAAATTCTCGAAAGGGCAGGAAAAAGAGGCGACCACCGTCGTCGTCCTCGTCGTCGTCGTAATTAGAGTACGGGCGTACTGAGCGGCGGGGAACTCAGTTGACATGGGGACGACGAGGGGAGGTAGGCCCTGCCGGGAAGTACGAGAACGGCGGAGCTCTTCCCGGCATCGTCTGCCGGCAGGCAGGCAGGCAGGCAGCGTGGTGGACGACGACGAATGGATCAGAGCCCGAGCTCGAGCTCGAGCTCTGCAGTCTCGTCTTCCTTCCTTCCTTGGCTCACGCTCGCTTCGTGGGCGGGAGGGAAGGCCGTCATAAACCCCGGAAGGTGCAGATCTGGATCTCATCGCCCGAGAGGAGAGAGAGGGAGAGGGAGCCATGGCATCTGCTGCTCCCGTCGCAGCTTAGTTAGTGTTGTTGTTGTTGTTGTTCCGCGCAGGGTGGCCTGCCTCGACGAGAATTGCAAGGCGGCAGAGCGAGCGAGGGGAGTGGAGGGCGAGAGTGATTGAGGTAATGATTGATCTCCCAGATGTGCATTCTCCGGACCGCAAATCGCCACGTTGCCTCTCTCTCTAGAGCTCGAGAGTGCGTGTGCCGAGAGCGGGGATTCTCGTGGCCGTGGGTTCTGCTCCCGATCGGAGCCGGTTACAAAGTGAAATGCATCCGTCGTGCAGCGCGGAACTAGAATACAGAGCTCGGCGACCGAGGCATCGGGCGAACTGCCATGCGACTGATCTGCGAGATTCGTCGTTGCGAATGCAGCCCGGAAGGATCAGAGTCGGACATGACACTGAGGATGCCAGACCCTGTGGTGGTGGTGGCGGTGGACGATTCAGGGCTCTCCATCGTGAATTGGACGATGGAGGAGATGCTCGAGCGTATCAGGATTGAGATATTGAAGGACGAAATTGGAACGAGCAGGATTACGAGCTATGGCGGGTCTAGCGGTCGGGGCAAAAAACCTCTGAACCCCCAATAGCGAAGTGAAGGACACCGAGCCAGAGATGGAAGTAAACAGGGCCACGTACATTAGCAGTCGAGCCTTTTTTAAAACAGCTCGATGGAAAGCATCTCAAACGGGGGCGAGTCAATGCAAATCTACAGATTCCTGATACAGCCCGAGCACGGATCAGACGTCTCATAGTAGTTATGGAAATTAAGAAGGGAGGGGGTGGAAATGAGAAAGCTAGCCAGGCACCGTGTAGACGACATATCCACGACGTCGGACCGAAATCAGAGCGCTATGAGCTTGCTCGCTGCTCACCCGGCAGGCCTGTCGTGGGCGGATCTTGTTATTGTCTGCTTCATGGCGTGCACATGATTCATCCGATGGTGATGGAATGAATGTCTGTTGCTCTGTGCAGTGCAGTTAGTTTCGACGAGGCGGTGGAGAGGAGAGGATGGGAGGAGGAGGAGGAGTCGATAAACACTGGCCGCCAAAATGTTCGTCTCTCGTGCTGCGAGTTGCATTCGCTGTGCTCGTGGCGGCGGCGGTGGTGACGGCTCAGACTCTCACGGATCCCTGCGCGACGAATGCCGCTTTGCCCAAGGATGTGACCGTCGGCTTCTCGACTAACCTCTGCAAGCTCGTCTGGACCCAAAAGTCTTTCACTGTGCGGGTAAAATTCCTTCCATTCTCTCTTAGCTGGTGCGTGCTCCGTTTGCCATGGCTTCACATCGAGCTAAGTCCACGAGAGGGTTTCTGGCTCTCAGGCTCTCTAAGGGATGTACTGAAGGACCGATTCTTACTCCTCTCCGATTGTCAATTCGAATCGTGTTTTGTTATTTATCTCCAATTGTTGTAGGAACCGCGTTTTGTGACGATAAATCGATCGGTTCTCGAGCGTCTTCACAATTTTGCCCATTTTCTGTGCTCTATATCGATTCGACTCGATTCTCCAAACTCTGGCGTAATCTTAAGCAGCCTCGAGAGGAGTTTTGGGAAAAGTTCCAGATCCTCGTAACTTCGATGAAGATCAGGGCACTAGTAGCGAGCGTGCTTTGTAGAGGAAGAGGATTGAGATTCGTCGACGATTGCGTGACTCGAATTGCAATGTGCAATGACTTTGTCAGCTTGGATTGAGCCCTCGAGGTGTGCGTGATTGCAGTATGCGAGCAACGCCAGCACTCTGAGCATAGTGCTGTCGGCAGCGAGGGAGAATCGATGGTACGCCATCGGGTTCAGCAAATCCGGAGCGATGGTGGGGTCGTCGGCCATGATCGCCTGGGTCGACGCCACCACCGGGGCGGCGACGATCAAGCAATTCTTCCTGGGAGCGAAGAGCTCGTCCGGCGTGAAGATCGACTCGCAAATGAAGCTCGCGTCGACGCCCCAGGCCTTCGTCACCTCCGACACCATGTACATGGCCTTCCAAATTGACAAACTCGCGTCGACGGGCGTCTTCTTCGACTCGCAGCTCTACGCCTTCGGCATGGTCGGCGACATCCCCACCAGGGACGTGCTGCTGCAACACGAGCAAGACAGCACCGCTACCTTCGACTACGCCACAGGTCCATTCCCCGATCCATCCATCGATCGATGGAAGAAATTGACGAATTGATTGATTGATAGATCGATCGATAAATTTCATCTCCCTCGCTGACCTCGTGACTCGTGACTCGGTGCAGGTACAGCCGTCGTGACGTCGGGGGGCGACCCGGCGAGCCTGCGACGGAACCACGGCGTGCTGAACATCTTCGGGTGGGGCATCCTGCTGCCCGTGGGGGCCATCATCGCGCGCTACTGCCGGCAGTGGGACCCGGCCTGGTACTACCTCCACGTCGGCCTCCAGATCAGCGGCTTCGTCCTCATCATCGCCTCGTTGGTCATGGGCGTGCAGCTGGCGGACCAGCTGGTCGACTCCAACATCGGCACCCACCGCGCCCTCGGAATATTCGTCTTCGTTCTCGCGACGATGCAGGTAAGCAAGGCATAGCGCTCCTCCTCCTCTTCCTCCTCTTCTTTCTCCTCCTGGGGCCGTCGCCGTCGCGATGGGGCGAGTCGTCTGATCGCGACCGTCGTGGCCGTGGTGGTCGCAGGTCTCGGCGGTGCTTGTGCGGCCGAAGAAGGACGCGAAGATTCGGCGCTACTGGAACTTCTACCACCACTGGGCGGGGCGCCTGGCGCTGGTCGTCGCGGCCGTGAACATCTTCGTCGGGATCGACGTGGCCTCCGGCGGGCGCAAGTGGAAGGCCAGCTACGGCCTGGTGCTGGTGATCGAGCTCGTGCTGCTGCTGGTGCTCGAGGCCCTCTCGTGGATGAACCGCATGGCGCAGAAGGAGCCCACTCTGCAGCTCGGCGGCGGCAACATGCAGCCTAGCTACCCGACTTCCGCTCCCCCGGCCTACGACAATTACCGAAACGACATGTAGACCTTCCAATTTCACGCAGAATTCTCGTCCACGCCATCGCCGGGTCAGAATTTCCGCCCTCGAGGATGTCTTCTGCGGCAGCGTGGCCTGCTTTCTGTCTGTCTTTCGTTCATTTGTTAGGGAGAATCGAGCGAGAAATTCGATCGAGATCCGGAGAAAATCGATTTTTATCTGCGCTGAAAGGCGCGGGACGTTCTTACAGCGCGTCGTCCAATTCTTGCTGTACATATGATCGTGTCTCGACCGCACCTCGTCCCTCCCTCCCTCCCTCGCCCGAATTTCTTGACCTCATCAATTTTAAGCTTCTTCCGAGATGCGTCAGATTCGTCGGGGCAGAAGGAGAGATGAGATGAGATGAGACGAGCGGGTCGGTGTCAGGTTTTTGATTCAGATGAGGATTCTTGTTGGCGAGGGCTTCGGAGTGATGAATGCAGCCGTCGTTGCTCGCCCATACTGTATACGATAGATTGTCGACTTTCTGACCTTCTGAGGGATGGTGTTCACCGAGTTCTCGCACTGGCTGCCGCACATTTGCAGTGGCCGGCTTAGTCTCTGTACGAAATTGAGTGATCTTCCGCCGCCACGAAATGAATTTGCCTCACAAGTATACTCTTTGCGTCGAAGATTTATGAATCTGCATTGTAGAATTTATAATTTGAAGTGCGCGTTTCATCTTGATGAATAACTTGAAGTTTATCGATAATGAAAATGCAACATTTCTAAATAATATTAAGAAAAAAATTATATTTTAAGATATTATCAAAATTAAAGAAATACATCAATTCGAATGAGTAATAATTGGAGTTTTTTCTCACTACAATATATAATAGAGATGATAAATAGAAACTTTACAATATTGTCTAATATAATATCAAATATAGACGCAGCAACAAAATAAAGAAAACTAAACTTAAAATGTTATATAGTAACATATGTTAATCACTATCTTAACTCACTCATAATATGAATGAGTAAATAACAATTTAAAATCATATTAATTTTGTATAATACATTTCATATTTTCACATCTCCTTTCATTTTCTCACAAGGAAAAAATAGTTATACTGGTTAATTACTATCAGTTGATATTAAAATATAATTAGCGTAAAATATGATGAAATCTATGTAATAATTTTATTCACAAACTCCCACTTTGTTTTCAGTAAATTAATAATGAGCAAAGGATTTCTATATCATTTCAGTTTAAACCGTTTGCGTCGATAGGCACGGCCTATGGTGAGAACTTGAAATGTGAACATCGAAATTTGAAACACATGTTGGTTCATACTAGATAATAGGTATCAATTTGTCACCGTCTTTTATAATCATGTTCCCACCATATCTATTTTCAACTCCTTCTCTACCAATTATCGCATCCTTCACTCATTTCCGTATCACTAAAACAAAAGGATTACAATACAACACAATGGGTAAAGTATGTACACTTGGCAAAATTTTCGATGAAGTGCAAAGAATATATGGATTGATGCACAAAAGCATTTATGCTCCATTCCAAGAACTAAAAGTGAAGTCATCATCCTCCTCTTGTGCCCTACACAATCTGAACTTGAGGACCTTCATGTAAACACACGAGAAGGTCCTTCATATTCTGGCCAGTATTTGATTCAAAATTTGGACGACATATCTTCATATTGTACAGCTCTGAAGTATGTAATAGTTGTACAAGCCGCCGACATAAATCCTGAGCTACAATGTACAAATGTGTCTAAGCTTATGACAGACCCATAACCTTGCCTGTTTCAGTGTTGATGTCAATGTCGTAGTACGCAGGACGTGTGGGCAAACCTGGCATGGTGCTCATGGTTCCGATGATGGGATAGATAAAACCCGCACCCACACTGGCCTTGATCTCTCTGATGGGTAGAATGAAACCTGTGGGAGCACCCTTCGCAGCTGGCATATGTGAGAATGAGTACTGCGTCTTCGCAATGCAGATGGGAAGGCCACCGAACCCCTGCTTCGTAAGTGTCTCGATTTGCTGCTCGGCCTGACAGTGTCACAATGACGAACTGTGAGTGAGTCCAGTCCTGATCCTGGGTCCAGGAACCTGATGATTTTCGAGGCAAAGTTACAGAAGTTGGGAAAACGTCAGCTTATACCTCTGGTGACAGTTCGATCCCGGCAGCACCGTAAGACTTGGCGATAGCTTCGATCTTCTCTCTTACGCTCAGATCGAGGGGATACAGGAACTTCAAGTCTCCACTTTGCTCTTCACAGGCCTTCTTGACTGCCAACGCTAAATCCACCTGTATAACCATGGCAATTGTCGATTATATCTTAGGGCATGTGCTAGGCTAAGTTTTTAGGTGTCTGGCAGTTCTCATCTAAAGCAATTCGTACTACTGACATTGTATTTCGACTTGTACTCGCTTTTGATAGATAAGACAGTTGGTTTCAAGCTAAGAAAATGCCACAATACATTATCAAATGTTCAAATTTTGAGAAGCAGCACTTACAGCTCCCTTTCCTCCATGGGAATGATGTGTGCAGGCAACCGCGTCGTAGGCTCCGGCCTGCAAAGCAGCTTCTCTCACCGCAGAGATTTCAGCCTCGGTGTCTGTAGCGAAGACATTGACGGCAACCACAACATTCACATTATAAGCCTTGGTGTTCTGAATGTGTTTGGCAAGGTTTGAGCAACCGGCCTTCACAAGGTCTACGTTCTCTGTCCTGTAAGCATGATCAAGAGGCTTCCCGGGAGATACATCGGGGCCTCCACCATGCATTTTCAAAGCTCTGATTGTGGCAACGATGACAGCACAGTGGGGTTTAAGTCCACTGTATCTGCACTTAATATTCATGAACTTTTCAAGCCCTATGTCGGCTCCAAAACCAGCCTCTGTGACAACGAACCCTCCAGGTCCTACTGCCTTCAAAGCAATCTGATCGGCAACGATGGATGAGTTCCCATGGGCGATATTGGCAAAGGGACCGGCATGAACAAGTACAGGTGTGCCTTCCAATGTCTGCATCAGAGTCGGGTTGATGGCATCCTTCATCAGAACTGTCAAAGCACCACCAATTCCAAGGTCATCGGCAGTTATTGCATCACCAGCTTTACTCGTTCCGAGCACCATATTCCCTAGTCTCTCCCGCATGTCAGCCAAAGAGGTTGTGAGGGCCAAAACAGCCATAATTTCACTGGCTACAGCAATGTCGTATCCAGTCTCTCGGGTCATTCCCTTCTCTTCGGGTCCTTGACCCACCGTAATTTTCCTCAGAAACCTGTCATTCACATCTACGACTCGCTTCCAAGTAATTTGCTCCTTGTCAAAATCTAGTCGGACGAAGGCCTTCGACTCCTCAGGTGTAAGTTCAGCAGGATTAGTCTTCGTGATTCCAAGCTTTTTCAAACGTTTCAACATCACGGGGGCAAACTTCCGGTTGCCTTCTTTGTCTGCGGGGCAAAGTCGATTCAGTAGAGCCTTGTCCGATTGAGTTGCCTCGTGGAATATGCGGGCGTCAATGGCAGCTGCAACAAGGTTGTTGGAGGCAGTGATGGCATGAATGTCTCCAGTCATGTGAAGATTGAATTCGTCCATGGGTATCACTTGACTGTAACCCCCTCCCGCAGCGCCACCCTTGATGCCAAATGTGGGGCCTTGGCTGGGCTGCCTTAGGGCAGTAACAACCTACAAAATATTCATCAACCAGATCAATACATACGTCTGAGTAAATCAAAATATTATCAACAAGCTCTTATGAATGAGAGAAACGCATCTTACTAGCCTATGGAATTGTCCTCATGAGATAAAAAAATTTCAATAAGACGATGGAAATATAACTACGCAAATTATCAACTCACTTTCTGAAAGCTGAAATTGCAGCCATTTGAACACTCTGCTCGTGTAAATCTATGCTCACGAATTACTTCGTGACTAAGTCCTCACCTCATTGTTGGAAAGAATTCTAAAGAGACAAGGTACAGTAGCTGATATCCAGGAGCGGTCAAGTCACAAGCTCTCCCATCTAGAGAACATGGGATGAAGATGCAACGGAGAATTGGAGTAATAAATTCCAAGGGGGTGACGGCAAGTCCTCACCTTCTTTCCCAAATATGCACCGATAGCCTGACATAGACCGACGGTTGTTGTCGACTTCCCTTCACCCAATGGAGTAGGCGTAATTCCTCCGACAACGACATAGAATCCATCTTGTACATCTTTCAATCGGTCGCGAGCAGACAAGAGAACCTAAGGAGAACGAGAAAAATAAGATCTTCAAATTTCAGTCCTTCGCACCTAGAGCACACGCATTGCAGAAGCAAAAGTTCGATGTACAGCCAGTACGAATTAAAATTAAGATTTAACAGAGCAGTGTCTGGCTTGCCGTGACATCAACATGAGGACATAACCCTCCGATGAACGATTTGGAGTCATGAAGGAATGCCGGGAAGAACGTCAGCGGTATGAATTATCGATGATGTACACGATTAGTATTATTCCACTCATGATGAATACCAAATCGCACTCCACAAGGCAGACTCTGTGATCTTGAGCGTAAAGCTGGACAGCTTAGTTTTAATAAAAAAAGAGCAGATTCCAGGCAGTCAAGCGGAGAGGAAAGGACAGGACAGGAGAGCGGTCTACCTTAGCCTTGTAAGGTCCGTAAAAGTGAATGTCTTTGGGATTCAAACCAAGACCTTCGGCGATGACACCGATCGGAAGAGGCTCAACGGAATTTGCAATGTCGATGTCAGCAGGGGTCGGACTGACCACATTCTCCAGTCTCCTGGTCAACCCCATGAATCTTGGCTGTCTCGAGCTCACCACCTCCTTTACCTCCTCGAGACACTAGATTCTCCTCCTCGGCTTTGCTGAGGCAGCGCAATTTCACAGCTCCTCCCGTGAACCACACTTCCACCCCACCCCTCTCAGTCTTCTCTGCCGCTGCGATAACCGGCTTCTCATCCACAGCCACAACCTCCTCCTGCGCTGTGAACTTCCGCAGCCCCTCCTCGGCCACTGTCAAGGGGCTTTAAGTCAAATCCGACGCGAGTCCAGCCGAAGGAAAGCAAAGCCAGCGTATTGTGACAGGGAGGTGTGGGTGGTCCCGCACGGCCCAAGAGGGACCTCCCTCTCTCCGCTAGTAGAGGAGGCACTGGGCACCAGCTTCCCACCTGGTTTAGCAGTCCAGCTGCTAACCACATCATCCCTTCTAGATAAACAAAGCACATTGGAGATGGCTGGAGCAGCAATTCCAATCCAAGCCAATCCACTAGCCCCAACGACTGAGATATTTCTGGCTTCGGGCTGGTTCGTGCCCGCCTTGTCTTAACGGCAGTTACGAGGCCAAACGAGGCTTGCCATAAACAGACCGGACAGAAGCACAGTGTCATGGCCGGCTCGAGCCAATCATGCAATCGCAGCCCGAAAATGAGCTGAGCTTCTGGCGTTCATGAATCGGGCACGGTGGGTACATGCACGGATTTTACGGGGCTCGACCTGGTGACGAAGGAGGGTGGAATTTGGTCTTTTATCCAGGCCGACCCCGAAAAGCTGACACTGCGATATTCCTGACCCTGATTCTAGGCCTTCTACGAACAGGCTCGAGTGAGTGAGTGAGTGAGCGAGCGAGCTGGGGAAAGAGCATGGCCTGGAAGAAGACATTCACCGAGCAAATACAGAGTACTCCTCGGTTGCGAGTGATGGACTGCCCCGAATCTATGCAACTCGGAGCCCCTTTCTCTATCACTCTGTAAAAACGACAGACGCCCGGGTCCACACGAGCCCTGCAATCATCATCACGACTTACAAGCAGCTGTGAGTCCGAAGGTGGACTTGCTCTTGCTGCAGTTTCTTTTTTATTGAGATTGAGAGCTAGATGAGCCGCTCTGCGACAGAGGTTGGAATGAACCCAAACTTCTGAGACAGGAGAAAAGTAACCTGGACAAGTTCATGCCTTGCAGGACAAAACCCTGCAAGGCCATTTGTCCCTCAAAGCATTATTATGGCTTGGAGGGAACGTCCGTGTAGATCTTGTTGTTTTTACCTTCGGAGTATTATGTAATCGAGAGTTGGCATGACGTTCATCCTGGTCCTCATAGTGTAAGAGTTGTTTAATCGGACCGAAAGTACACGCTCTCAAGTGGGCTGAGTGACGCGGCCTGTACGTACTTCTGCAGAACTTGCTCAAGGTAACGGATGTGCCCTCCATGTCCCCGGGGTCCAGCTGCAGTTACGTACTATAGGCCATTTCGTACGGGCAAAACATCGGCATCCACTTGGCACTGTCCACCTTCAGCTCTTGGGTCTTCTTTTGACCCGAATCCTTCCATCACTATCCTCAGAGTTCGATCACAACACTTCATTTGCGCAACTTGCATCAGCGTCAGGACCGAAAAAACCATCTCTACAGTAAAAGACTTTCCACCGCAGTAAATACACGCGTAGGTAGGATTCCGATGCATATCCTCATTTCAGGGACAGTACCTTACCTGAATTGATTTTACACACTCCAAATGTGATGAGTTGATAGAAGTGGGCATCCACCACTCAGTATCGAACCTAATACTTTTCACAAGCTCCATAATCTTTGAAATTTCAACCTTTTGGCGTCAGTCTTCAATTGAGAACTTCCGGATAAGCTCCAAAGAAAGAGGCTGCGACCTCTTCCCAGTGAAGTCCAATGACCGAAGGATAGTCAATGATCTTTATATAATGCTTGGTGACTGGTGACAACAACGTGTACTGCTCAATTACAGCAAATCAAACGATCTGTCCATCGAAGTCAGACAAAACGGACGACCACGACATCCAGAAGGAGTTACCTTCAAGTGATGAGGACAGTATCCGGCTAGAAATGGGATGTTCTGTCGACCTTCTTCCGGCTCTTAATCTAGGAAACGAAGTACAGAGGCAAAGAGTGTGAACAAGTTCTCCTGAACATCTCTCATGAATCTCATTTTCGGATCTCCAACCTCTTATTCGGCCACTGCAACTTTGCGTGAGAACTAACAATAATTTCACTACAGGTGACTTTGACGGCTGTGCCTTGAGGAGGTTTCCGACCATAGCATCAAATGTGAGCATACGCTGAGCTCCATGTATGACAGTATCGATGACCCAATGCTTGTTTTGCAGTAGTCAGAGAGAACAATATCCCGTCTATGCAGCTTCTTTTATCCTAAACCCCTGAATGGACACATGTCCATAGTTTCCAGAGATCCGGTCTGCTAAACGACTCTGGGTGAATACAGTCGAGTCTGGGAGCTCTACAGTCGTTTCTGAAGTTTGGACCGCAAGCGGACGTCGAAGATCCAGATGAGTCCGAGGCGTGCGTCACTTGACATGGTCCATAAATGAATTAGGCGCCTTGAAAGAAGGGTGGATATTCAAGAAACTCGTGGCTAAAAAATGGGAGTTAACTAAACTCCAAGAATGGTTCGAATCTGTTCTGGAGTATGCCGTAGCATTGCTTTGGGTTCTGGATAGCGATTTGAGGGATCCAAAACTGCCAAGTAAACCGTTTCGTACGCATCCGCTAAGGCTCTTGCAACCTGATTCGCCGCCTCACTGCGAAGTCGAGGAACCTGCATTTGCTCAAATTCTGGAAGGGGTCCTCCTTCGCTACCGGCTAGAAGCCCTAGGAACAGTTTCAAGGAATCTGCAACAGCCGTCGGAGACATCTCATCAATCTCTGCCATAGGTCTCTCATCATCCACTTCTTCCTCCTTCGGCACAATTTCACCTTTCGTGGACCGTTCCTTGATGTATGAAACTTTCTTTTGAAGTCCACAACGCTCAAGAATGACGCCAACCTCTTGATCAACGAGCCCCGCAATGTGTCCCTCGATTGCACTTCCAAGATATTTTACACAGGAGCGTGCCACCTCGGATCCCACTAAAGGTTGCTGGATTGCAGATAAGCAGTTAACCAGGAATATTCTCCGGAAGGCATGTACTCCCTGCTCAAGTACACGAAGGCGTGATTAGTGTCTTGGAGATATCATTGAAGGAGATAGGAATCATAAAATGTCACACAAGACAACATGAAAATAGGCTTTGGATTGAGGGCACAACATAAAACTACGGGCCAGTACTAAAACTGAGGTTACAAATGGGGCAGCGAAGAAATGAAGTGGTCATCTTCGCACCCACTCAAGATCCACTTATAGGCGACTTCACTTCTCCGGCGATGTCACAGACATCACCTGAAACGTGCAAACAAAGGCATTTTCTACAAGGTCGGAAACCGTCCTCGATGAACATTCAACAGTGACGAACCATGGGTCGTTCTCCATTCTAAGGTCAAGGAATGACAACGGGTCCTGTCCTTTCTTAGAAACGAATAAGCGTCAATAATAACTGCGAAAGAAAGCTCTTACTTGTGACTGCAAGGAAGAAAGTCCAGATGCTAGTGTATCAACAGAAGTGGTCCTCCGGGGCGGAGGTGACAAGTTCGGGAGCTTGCGACCCTCTCCACTGTTGATCCGCCTCATTCCTGGCAGTGGGGATTTCAGACCATACGCTTCAGCTGCTCTCTCACACATCTACGCACAAAACAGGTCGTAAAACTGTAAATAAGATTACAGAAAAGCTGAGATCCACTGGAAACATGTAAAATTGAGAACATATCACATTTTGCTTAAATTCGACACGCACGATGCCTTGTACTGAATAGGGTTCACTGCACGGATCAATGTCGACCGAAACTCAGAAGCTCAGAAGTCAAGTTCCCCACAAGTTCACTTCCGGAATTACAAAACAGTGTTTACGTGGATAGAGTGAGATGCATAAAGACCGAAATGCCGTCGGATGTAATGAGAGAAATGAAGTGTCGTAAGCAACGAACCTGTACGAGGGGCTCGACAATGGCATTGATTACCGGCTCGAAGTCCGGTTTTTTGCCACCAGCGGGAACCATCATTCTATTATAGTTGTCAATAAGCTCTAGAAGTACAGAGACACCTTCGGCTACAGCTGGCGGCGGAGACAAATCAACTGCCACGGAAGATGGATACCGTAGAAGTTTGTCACCACGAGCTTTTAAAATATCGAAAAAAGTTCTAAGAGCAGCATCCCTCACGTCTCTGACTGTTACGGATAGAGCAGCATTTTCGCCCAGTAGATCTGAAACCTGGATGGCCGAAATCCCAAATATTCTTCAGATCGCCTACAGTCGATAGACTGTAAAACAGGAGCTCATGAATGGACTTAGCAAACATAAGGCCCACGATTCGCAATTCCCGTTAAGTAAAACAAAATTTCACAGGCACCAGAATTGTAAGAAATATTGCTTCAGAACTGAGTCATGCTACTCAGTAACAATTCTATACTAACACATTGACAGCTACATATTGTCCCCTGGATTTGACACGACAATCTAGCTTTCAACCGGAATGTAGTCAGCTTTCGGCCTTTTCCTCCATTAGCAAAGTCAAGGTTCTACATCTTGTAAACAAGGTAGCAACTTACAGTATGGGAGTAGAATTCCAAAAGGTTGGTGAGTTTGTAGGCCAGTATCAGGCCAGGCTGTGATTGTAAGACTTGCTCCACTCGCACTTTGAATGGACGACAGACTCCCTCAAATACACGATCCAAAACAAAAGTCATGTCTGCTTCGACTTTGCCGTCATCTTTTTCCACTTCTTTGGTATATCGAGCTGTCTTTGAAGCTAGTCTTGAAGAATCAGTTGTAAAACGTTGGGAAGTGCTATCAACTACAGCGTTGGCATCAGAACTGAAAAGTGCTGTCGCGAGCTCTCGTTCAGAAGCAAGTGCCTAAAATGTATCAACCATCACATGGAAACAGTTCTCGTACTTAGTAAATAGATGGATAACAATTGAGCAGCAAAGGACGACAGCTCTCCTTCACAACTTTTACGGAAGCAGAAGGAAAGACCTGTGATGATCCTCGAACCCGAAATGTACCAACATACAAAGTGCCACACCTGATGAAGCCAAGCCAGCATATCACCAACATAGCGTAGAGGATCGTGCGCGTGAACTTCGATAGGCCTCGGCATGCCTCCAGGTCCACCTCTCGTAAGTGCACTGATAAAACGTCTAAACAGAGCATTATGCCTTGTATTTGCAACCTGGAAAACATCGAATTAGGCTCGAGATTAGACACATCTTCATATCAGCTGTTCTTGAAGTAGAGAGCGGAGCAATTCGGCAGAGACAGCGGTCATCAAACATCCATGGGTTTATAGTGAGAGTATACCTCTTCAGCACAGTATTTGAATAGGACAGGTCTTTCTCTTAAAGATCTTGCAGCGATCTTAAGCAGATCGCTGACCTCTGGAGTGTCGTTATCACCCAGGCTTCGGCACTCATTTTGAACCCACCTGAGAGAAAAAAAATTAGCATGTACTAGCTGGGAGCAGTCTGTTGAACTAGTCGATGAGTTTGTTCTAGGATCTAAGATGTGATGTTCAAAATGGATTGAACGTATTGATGATTAGCTATCTTATGATGCGAAACTACCACAAATGTAAACTTGGGAGACGGACGAACTGAATACCGTAGCTACGTGGAGGCAACAGGTTGATTATCACCATGTGCTCATATAGGCCACCGCATGCTTTAGTTGCTAGGAATGACCCTCTGAAGCTTGAAGAACCAAGCAGACAAATAGCATCTAAGAGAAATAAGACAGCAATTTTACAACCAATAAGCTAAAACCCTCTACAACTAAGCAACTGCATGATCTATTGCAGTAGTTGGTTGACTATCTCCTAAAACAGCTATGGTACAAAATGACAGACGATGCCTGATACCTGCAGAGTCGTTCATAAGCACCTTCTTGATAGGCAGCCATCATATCCATCAACTCCAAGCCAGCACGCTGTAGAATCAAACATACAAATGCAAGTAAGTATCACCAAGCAGCAGAAGGTGTAACCGTGCTTGATGAATATATCAGAGTTAGAGTCTACGGTGCACCCACAGGGATTGAATTTAATGCCGCACAATCGCAATCGACTCGACTCAACGCAATGTGCGAGAATACTAACAACTTACCCAAGTCAATTCACTCATGAATGAGCCAGAATAGATGTAGCCTGAAAGTCATCCTTGAGTGCAGATTAAAAATATAGAGTCCACCCGATAAACACGTCATCTAACGAGATCAGTATTGTTTAGCATACGCAAGATCATACGAAGAGGTCCTGAAGAGAAGAACCTGTTGATGCGTCCGGAGCAAGACTTTGCAGTTGGCATGAATCTCCTGTACTCGAGCAAGAGCCTTGAAAAAGTTCTCGTTAAGTTCTTCTTCTCTAAGTGCATTGACCTGCAGCATACGAAAGAAGGGCAATATTTTTGGTGTTAATTGTAGAGAATGAAATAATTATTTGCCATAAAGTCATATTCTAGCAAGTGAACTTTATAAATCACAAATTACGTATCAAGACATCCAACCACTGACTCCATTATAAGATTCCATCCTGGAACGTGGAACGTTACGCTCTAATCCTCTTGAACGATCCATGATTTATGAGTACAAGCTTCTCTGAAGGATCCAGTATACTAAGAGTGTGTCCAAAAGAAGACGTATGCGGGAATGTTGCTCCCATTACCATAAAATGCAGATAAATGCAAAAGTCACAAACAGACGGCTGCTTCAGGGATGTATACTTCTGTGACAGAAGATACCTATCTCTTCGGGTTAGCATTGATAGTCGTGAAGATATTTAGAAGCAGAAAACTCTTGTACGTCCGTAAAAGACTATACATACTTCTTCTTGTGAGATTTGACAGACATGAAGATCTTTAAAGGAAGTGGCAACTAAGTCTTGAAAAGGCAGTACACCAGTTGAATACAAAAGCAGAAAAAATATAGTTTGAACGAGGAATTAGAAGTTACGCATGAAGGAATCTTGTTCCAATTGCTCATATTGGCTTCGTGGAGATGATACAAAATGCCATAAGCAGACCACAGCCTTATAATTTGTTACTTTTGTGACAGACATTACATACCTCTTCCGGTGAGAGTTGATAATTGTGAAGGAAGTTTGCAATAAGATCCTGACGTTGAGTGGTTGTCTCGAGCTCTAGCTTCAACCTTTCAGTAGCAGTCACAATGTCCCCAGTCGTGGCACTACAAGTGCTCAACGACTTTGCAATTCTGAACAACCACAGAGCCGCCACACCTTTCTCAATTAAACCTAGGTGAAACATTGTCTCATTGCTCATTCTCCTCAGAATCACTTCCTGTGAGGACTCGCACTGACTACTCTCTAAGCGCAAGAGAAAGGTCGAAACAACCCTGGACTATCAAAGCAAGATACAAGCCAGATTTTTCCACATTTGATGTATTAGTTTCTCACCTGTCACAACATTCTGCCAATCCGCTGACCTCATGATCAACTGCATCCAACGCCTGCACATGGAGAAAAAAAAAGACAGAGATTCTTCAGCTCTGGCGAGCATCAGGACGACCCACAAAGCTCAATCATATGTCTAGCAAAAATCCGTATCAGTCAACTTTTTACAGGTGCATTACGTCAGCTAAGGAAAATCAGAAATTTCATTGGCACTCGGATTGCTCTTGCCCCGTTCTTAGTTATCACATCTTTGAGCAGCTCGTAAGCACAGTCCTGGGCTCCAAAACTCACCTATGGCGCACAATACCCTCAGATACAGAAAATATTACGTTTTTCATATAGAAAAGTGTAGTATCCCTAGGTTTGAATTGAAGCATAACACAGTTAAGCGAATATAATCTTCAAAAGCACAGAGATTTCTAGTTATTTACTTCTCCGTTGTAGAGGAAACTGCGTATGAGCTTGAAGAATTTCTATCATGAAATAACAGAATATATAATCTCCCAGTCCAATTACAAGCTAGTTAAGTGAACACTCGAAGCGTACTAACCTTTTGTGCGGCTTCGGATGCTCGGAGAAATTGCTCATTGATGGAAAGTCCACGCTTCTCGATAGTGGAGCGCAAGTTTCGACGAGCCTGCAATGTATTCTCATTGTAGAAGGAAGACAAAGTGGTGAGCGAAGCGAGCAGCTCCGGAGAATCGGTGCGTGTCTCCAACACCTTCCTCAGCTTCCGGTTCAAACCGGGAGCCAAATTGGAGCTCATTTTCTGCCTCTTTCTCCGATCGCGATGATTGTCACTTGTCTATGTCCGCATTTGACCTCGATCTCGGCCAATTTCACGTCAAATTGCTCGATCGATCGACGCATCGATCGCGAGATCTTCTTGTTCCTCGCGCTCTTCCTTCTCCATCTCCGCAGACAAATCCCCCGATCGATACTGTGACCGTCTGCGTTCTACGAAATGTTTCTCAGAAGACGCCTCGCTCGATATAAGAACTCTCGATCCTCTTCCTACAATGCGATGCAATGGGTTCAGAATGTTCTGCCACTCCTTACAGCAACATTCCTACTGTTCAGTACACCGTCCATCCACATGGACGCAGTGAGCTTTTGCATCCACGTGTTACGCAGTCTCCGTCGACGGAAAGGAGCTTTTCCAGAACATGGGTTTATGACTTCCAGAATGTCAAATTGAAGCCGGTTTTAAATTATCAATGACAGTCCACAGTGTGGACTGTCAGGAGAGAATAGGGACAGGTGTGGACTCCACACCTGTCCCTATTCTCTCATGCTCATGCTTGTAGAGTGGAGTTGTCCTAAGATTATCCAGAACCAATTAATCATGGGCGTAAACCAGGATAATATGAGATAGTGGTGTGAGATGAGAGGTGGCAATTCTCTTCATTCTTGTATATTCCATGGAATCTAGAAGACAATGTCTTTATAACAACTTCAATATTTTTCTTCAGCCTGCGGAGGTCGGTGATGATACCGGCCAGTCGGTTTTTTGCAACTCGTCACCTATTTCAGTATTATTAGTGAAGTTGTACGTACCTGCCATACGAATAAAATTGTAGAAGAAGAGACTAAGTTGGTATACCCGGAGTTGGAATCTGTTGGAGCGTAAAAGTTCTCCTATTTCGAATTATTTCTTTTGCGACTTTTCATTTTCTATATCTTTTTGTAGCCAAATGGTTATATTTTTTTAAGGATCGGTACAAAGAATCATCTTATCAATTTGAGAAAACGAATCTATTATTATGGCACATTTACTATCTAAAATTTAAGCGTTCAATTTACAAATCAAAATATCTAGTCTTAGAGTAATTTGAATTTCTTTCGTCAAAATCTACTAATACGTCATAATCTACTCAATGCAATATTTATTTACTTTTATATCATATCTAATGAAATGATAAGATTGTAAATTTAAAACAAAATTTGTTGAGTTGTTAATCATATGAGTTATGTATGTCACACTACTCAAGTTGGAAAATGTAATTATTCTCTAAAGACCAAGATGTAAAATTCATTTTTTGGGAATTGTCTAGCTATCATCTTCCACACATCTACATACTTCGACACTAAAATTACAGATTCACATGAGTTTATAAAAAAATCTTTTTTAAAAAGTGTCTGTAGAAGTCATCTTATTCTAATTAAAAAAATGATGCATGATAACTTTCTTGCAATCAATGATAAATATCAAATTTAAATTATATTATGAAATTGTGTTTATATTGCTATGTAAAATCAAGTTGGTAAATTCTAATGCGTGTTACAATGAAATAGAACACCTAATCACTCATGCAATTTTACTCCATTATCTTGCACATGACCTTAGTCAAAAGCATCTGAAATAAAGATCACACTTTAAAACTTGGGATCGAAATTTTCAATCAACTACGAAGATATAATTTAAAAATCAAGAACATGTTATGATAAATTTCCCCGTCATATCATATTACATTTCTGGTTTTTAAACGGAAGTTTTGGATCCAAGATTTGCAACCACTGTGATGTTTCTATCATTATACAAATAGGTCTCGAAGCTCTAATTCCTGCAGCAAAGTTGTCAATCTTGTTGGTCAAGGCAGTCATGGACGGCATTGTGAAGACAGTCAACTGTGCCGTTGAGTCGAACTGTTGTAGGGAAAATCGAGTCAGATATCTCTCGCTCGATGTAATATCTCCACGTTACTCCGACGGTGACGGACGGCAGTGCGACGTAAAGTCGACTGCACAGTCAAGGTCACAGTTGTCGGAAGGGAGGAGTGTGGTAGACTGACGGAACGGGAAGAAGCACGAGAACGAGGACTGTCGGTCTCTAGGGTTGATTCTTCCATCGCACTCTTCTTCATTCATCTCTGTTCTTCCAATTTGATTGTCGCGATCGACCCATCGATCTGTTTCCCCGATCATTGTTGCATCTTGGTCTTTGGGGTGAATTCGCGATGTCGGTAAGCATCCCGCTGCCTTAGCTCTGCCTGCTTTTCCGTAAATTTCGCGTGCTGGGAATCCAATTTTTTCGTCTGCATAGTGTAGGTGACGAGGGGACGTTGGAATTGATAGTTTTTGAATATCTTAGCTGATTAGATTTAGTGAGATTTGATCTGTCTTTCGTTTCGTTTTGTAATCGAAATTGTTTGTGCTGTAATGTGTAAGTTCGGAATGCTTTCATTTGACCTCTCGTTCGCAGTTCGATATCGTAATCAAAGCGAGTTGCTAGAATTAGTTTTACTTCTGGAGATGATTTTGGTCGATGTTGCAATAGAGATTGTTATCGACAATTTTTTCGTTTGGGACGTCTTTCGGGTCATTTGGGTTCTTGTCTGTGTCGGAGCTGAGATATTTCCTCGCTCCTCAACAGATCACGTCATACAATGGAAGCGCCCTCGTGGCAATGCTGGGCAAGAATTGTTTTGCAATTGCGAGCGATCGGCGTTTAGGTGTCAACTTTCAGACGATTGCCACGGACTATCAACGTATTTTTGAGATACACGAGAAATTGTACATTGGGTTGTCTGGCCTTGGAACCGATGTTCAGACCCTGTAAGTTGCCACCCTTGTTGTGAAGTGAGCACAAAGTCTGAGTACTTTCTATTATGAGTTGCGCCCGAGGTGTGGCAACCTGCCATACTTGCCTCATCTAAAGATTATAAGCAAATGTTACAGATATCAAAGACTTAAGTTCCGCCACAAGCTATATCAATTGCGGGAGGAGCGAAACATGCGGCCAGAGACGTTTGCAAGCCTCGTGTCGGCTATGCTTTACGAAAAGCGGTAAGTAGTCTGGTCATATGGGCAGTTATCGAACTGGGCTACAACTGGAAGGGTCTGCTAGAAAATCGTCAGGAATTTGGTGCAGTCTCTTCAAACATCGTGAGACAAAAGACTTCACCGTTGAAATATTGGCTGCATTTACCATTTTTTCGAGAAACATCCGGTCTTCAGTCTCCATAACTCCTGGGGTTATGGAGACTGAAAAACGGATGTTACAGACCTGCGATCATGCCCAGTGATATTAAAGTGCTTGTTTCTCGCAGAAATCTTAATCTAAGACATCGCTCCTTTCACTGTCTTATGAAGTAGATGTTGGGAGAAATGCAATAGTTAATACTTTGTGTGTAGCCGTAGTATTTTGCGTAATGCAAGTATTTTTCCCTACCCGAAAATGGTTCTATCTCCACCTTCGTTTGTGTTAGGATTATAATTAAATTTGTACCTTGGTCCTGGTTCTGTGTGTCGTAGTTTTGAACCAGTGAGTTTAGATTTCCTCCCATCTAGGAGGCGGTGTGTATGGTCCTAGCTATGAGAGGCGAATGAGGACAGGTTACAATATTCTTGGTCATGTTTACTTCTAGGTAAAGGGGGTATGCCTCAGAACTGTACGAAATGTTTCTGACTGTCTGCATCTGAGTAGCTAATATTGAGTGTATGTTTTTTTATCAGATTTGGACCATACTTCTGTGAACCAATCATAGCCGGGTTGAGTGAAGACAATGTTCCATTCATATGCACAACAGATTTGATTGGTGCTAAGTAAGTAAACCCACCGTTTACATTTTTTTCGTATGATCATCGATTATCCAGTTAGTTGCAGAGGCAAATGATTGGTTTTCTAATCGCTTCTAAGTTACCTCCCTGCATCTTCTTATGTGCAGACAATACTCTTCGGACTTCGTAGTTTCCGGAACAGCTTCTGAGTCACTCTACGGTGCTTGCGAGTCAATGTACAAGCCAGACTTGGTATGACTTCTTGGTTTCGTTGAAATCTCGCCTTTTTATGAACCTTCAGTATCCGCGTTGTGAAACCTATTCAAAGACTCTCTCGTTTGAGTTCTGAAAGGTGTATGCTAACTTATATCGGATGCAGGAGCCCGACGACCTTTTTGAAGTAATTGCCCAGGCCCTTATCTCGTCCGTAGATCGAGATTGCATCAGTGGGTGGGGAGGAATAGTACATATTGTGTAAGTGAACTAACCTGGCCTAGTCTCTGATTCTTATGTGAATAACCTTGACATTCATGGGCTTATACTCCGTCTTTTTTGTTCCTGCATTATGCCTCGTATCTCGATGTCGTGGCTTCTTGGGAACATGCCCATTCTGAGGCAGAGTATACTGCTTGTCTGCAGGACACCTGATCAAGTCATCACCAAGACACTGAGAGGTCGGATGGATTAAGTGTTTTAACAAGTATCAGAATTGCCAGATGCACGAGAGGTCTCATGTTTCTATGTAAGAAAAGAGCAAGTGATATTCGAATACAGGCTTTCTTTTCCACTTACCTCTGAGACATCGGGCTGAAATTAAAGATCCATTTTGCATCTTTGGTATGTCCACTATTGTTTGTAGAGCTTAGCTTCAGCTCTACTGCCGATACCTTCTTCGGATAATCTTCCAGCTTTTGCATGCCAGCCAAGTGACGAGATATCTATGCCGAGCATGTAAATTGTAAGGGATGATTCAGTGTGGATGTAATCTTATTAGTACTTCTCAGTGAACTAGTTGAGACATAAGTTCCACCTTCAGGATGTTTCAAAATGCATCGGTGTCTGCACAGAGGATCAATATTCTCTTCTGTGTCCTATCTGGTATGATATATTGTCTGTAAATTCTTCGGAACCTTGCCTCTTTAAGTTTGTCTCGTCTATGGATGCATTTAGGTGCTTAAACTGAGCATCTCTAAACGTTGTGATTTGATATGATGGATTCATGAATGGATTGCTTTCCAAGCTACACATACTCTCGGGGAATTGTCAACATTGTCGGAGATGCTTTTTGTCCATCATATTATAGGAGGCTACCCTCGACAGAACTGCAGATGTCAAATCAAAGAAAATGGTCGATCATGAACCTTGTCACCCTGTCTACTTCTCCACTTAGCAGTGTGACCCAACCCACTAACTGTAGAAGCACTAAGTCCACCCTTCCGGAGGACCAAGGTAGAAGTATGCAGAGGGAGGACCCTGTGAGTAGTAGCACTGAGTCTTCTAGGACTCGTGTTGAGGTGGTCCTAAGTGACCAAGCTTCTCCGAGCTTGGTTACTGCGACTAATGCAGATCCCAAGTTACAGGAGGATAAGTATGCACAAGACACTCAGTTGTTGGAGAGAGTCCGCACAGATTATCTCTATATTTCTCACGAACGTCAAGTCCGACCCCAATATTTCAGAAGCATATTTACCGTGGAACGTTGAAAATATGCATCTCAGGATTGCCCGATCTTTGAGCGCAATAAAGGAAGTGACGATGACTGGAAATGGACTTTTTTCCCTATACCTCCACATTCATCGCGGAAATGCCGGTTTTCATAAGTATAGAGTGGGTTTCTTGGCTGGGGTATAGAGGAAATCTACTCTAGTAACCGTGGATTTTGTGCAAAGAGTTAAGGCCAAAATATATACTGCAAATTGTTTGGTTTGAGTTGCAGATTCTACTCAGCCAGAAGTTCTTGATGCTCTAGAAATGTCTCGACTCTTGCTGGAGAATGCACTGCTACTTATCATGATAAGACTCAAGGAGTTCTTGGGGTTTTGTTCTTTGAGCAGGTGGATCCTCCGCAAAAAACCTGTCAACAGAAGTGAGAAGCTACAGAAGACAAAAATGCAAAATTTCTGCTCTAAAGTATCCAAGAAAAGTGCGCCTCCCAAGAAGGCTATTTTTTATGCTCTGATAGCCAAATCTGTTGCATGAAGTGCTCCTCAAATCCAAAGTGGGAGCCGAGATAGCGTCTTGTGCTTTTCTAAACAAGGATACTAACTACCAAGTAATGCTATTGATTTGTTTGATGATGGTATTTTTGATGCTTTTTGTGAATTGATACAAATTGAGTTGGGTCAAGCGGTCTTTAGTGAGGAATAAATCACACCCACAAAAACTTTGAAACTTTCACGGTGAATATTGTTTCTTGGAACCTGATAGATCTTAATGGATCTACCAGGAAATACAAAGTGAATGATTTCTACACTAGTGAACCGTCCAGATTTCATCTCTCTACGAAAACACAAGATGTATCTATTTGCTATGAGAATACATAGACAAATTCATGCACCTTATGTGACATGTCGTGCGAATATGTATTGCCATACACTTTACATCGCTGACATGCTATTAACATACACACACATAGGACGCATACACACTCAAATTTACCAAAACTATTCAAATAACGTTCAGTTCTTAGAGTCGTCGTCGAACCTATATACTCTTAACGTTAACTTTAGACTCAAGGCTAAATATAGCATATACAAAAATACATGACACACATAGAAGTAGTCAAGGCAATCATAGCAGACCTTTACTAATTTGTAAAAGATTCAATCTCCTTCAGTAGTGATATTCAGACAATGGCTTTGTTACTTGTACTCAAATCTCTAAGAATGTTCATAGTTTTTTTTACATTTATTTATGGCACTCATTTGCATTTGCATGTACCTTGCAGTATTCACTAAAATCAGCTTTGCAATATGTTTTCTTACATGAACATAACTTCATGTGGCAACTAGAATATGGTTGAACTTTAGTATGACCTTTCTAGTGATGGCAAAATGTTGTGTGGCTATGAGAAAACATCTTTCTTTGAATTTTAAACCAAACACATTCTAGTAGATCTAAGTCAAATAGCTATTCAAGCTCTTGGTCTTGAGTACACCTTATGGTGTGATCATGGTGGAACGTCAAGATGGGCTAGATGGTGGCAGGTGTTTGGATGATGTTCGACATGTTATGCACCATGAGGGAAGTACTATGTTTGACCATCTACCAATTTTTACGGTTGTTGAATTGGAAACGTTGTGTTGTGCTTACGACAAATTTTTTTTAAGCTGGACCTATCACGTTCAAGTGAAACTTGTGTCTACTTTGTAAAGTGCATGTGCTTACTTACATTAGAAGATTTGGTGTAAACTTTCCACATGGCGCAAAAATCCCTGTCTTTTTTATCATCGCGCCATGAATGAGGTTTATTTTTTTTTTCATATCAAAAAGTCAAAGCATAGAAGCCGGTTCTCCTTGATTAACACTTTTGAAGTTAAGATATCCACTCTTCACATCATCAATACTGGTGAACTTTCTATTCAACAACTTTCTCGCCTTGATTGGTTGGAGATTAAAAAACAAGTGAGAGAACATGAACGGGACGTAGAGATCAAGTAATAATCTAGTGTTAGACATCTAGATCTTGATGATGCTCATAGTAAATATTCTATCAATATCCACATACAAAATTCTACTAGGGCATGAATTTTACATCTTCGCCTTGATTCTAGAGAGTTGATGCTTTTTCAAGCTAAAATTTTATGCTTTGTAGCACGATATTATTCTTGTCTTTATAAGTCTGAAAATCATTCTTTTTGCGACAAGGTTAGACATCTTGACCTCGTGAGTAGGAAATTTGGAAAAATTACCTATGCCAACGTTCTATGCTAGTTGAGGCTCTCATACTCAAAGAGATTGAAGATGTGATGTTACTTTTTTCTTCTAATAAAGCATCTAGGGTCAATGAAATTGTTGAAGTGCTTCGCAAAATGTGGCCTTTGATGAAAAACTTCTACTTGGTCATGGTTCATAATAATTTGTCACGTTATCTTGTGACAAAGAAATTTCATAAAGAAAGTGTTTGAACTTTCCTAACACATCACTTACATTATATGATATGTATCGTTCATGACAAGAGCTTGTAAGATCATATTCAGCTCGCATTGCCTACCTAAAAATATTGAGTGTCAACAAAGTTAAACGTTTTCCAAATCCTCCTATCACCTAGTTTGAGCTTATTTCAAAAGTGCCATCATGACAATCACATACGGTTACATGCTATGCCATTATGACAAGTTCTCATTGCATGACATGTACGGGATGTTGTTAGCATATACGTTTCAAAGTGCAGTGTACTAAGAAGATTAGTATAATCTGTAGTATTTTTTTGTTTTCTTGTATATCTTGATTATAGTCAATTATATTGACAATTGATGTACCATATCAATCAATAATCCTTTGCTGCGTATGTTCACCAACTCGCACCAATAATCCACTGAGTTTAGTTGTTTTTTCCAACATTGTATCAGAATTGAGAGCTTTGTTTCTACTTTTTTTGCTAGCGGCCCCAAATCAAATATTGATCAGTCTTATTTCTTTCAATAAGTAGATGCCTTATTGTTAGAAGAAAATTTGTTGTTTTAGTACTTTAGCTAGAAAAAAAGTACAAAGCTTTAACTTTTTCTAAGTCTTTGAATCTCCACAGACGTGATAATTACCTCAATTGATTGATTTGTCACAAAATAATTTTTCACATTAAAGATGGTTATAATGAAATCATTTCAACCAATTATGTTACACAATCTTGATGGCGCATGTCAGCAAACATCCGCAAGCGCCGCATTTTGGCCATATTACTGATTATATCTCAGTGCATTTCTTACATTCTAACTTTTATTTCAAATTTTGAATTCACGTCTACAGAGCTTTTTACCCATATCTGAAAATGGTATGATTTGCATAACACGCAACAGTGTTTTATTCATTCTCACTCATTGTACTCGCTTCAGCTTGCAAATGACGTTTTTTCAAAAAAGAAACTACAATCAATAGGTTGATTTTATCACTGTCAAGCTCGCATGCATCGATCATAGAGTCTCCAGTACTAATCTCATACATCACATGCTAAAGGGGTTGGCTGCTAGCTATTAGACTTTTGTGCATAATTTTTTGAGAAAAATGGAGCTACAACCTTTTCCATCCTTCTCGAATATCGTCTAATGACTTCAATCCACACAATACTTCACAAAAAAAGACAACCAAACAAAAAGGCTAACTTTTTTGACGCAAAACGGTACAATTTTTGTATCCGCTTGATTCATACCTTGATAGACTTGCTCTTATGTTACCTTAGCATCACAAGCCAAGTAGAATTTGTCATGTTGTGTACGTTGTAATTATTGTAACAAGACTTATAATCTTTTGGCTACTTTGACTGCAAATTTGCGCATTGAACTTCCTTTGTAATAACAGCGATCAGGTTCATTTGGTAAAAGAGTGGATATTGCAATTAATATTGAATCTCCAAAATTTACTGGAAAATCTTTGTCAAAGAAAACTTCGCGTGTAAGTTTAAGTTAATTAGGACACTCATAGTTGAATTTTATCTTGACTTGGAAGCCAACAATCATGTCATATGACATCGTTCTACCATGTTATCATTTCAAGTAGGATCTTTATTAGTTAGAGTGTTCACTGCCCATGGAACTTGTCTCTCTATAGCAGGTAAATATACTTTGTTTATTGTTTCTAATAAAATCTTCAAACATGTTATTTAATTTTTTGGTTTAAAAAATATCTCTTGTCCCTAGGTTGTTTTATTGATATGGAAAAATATGCACTATTTAAACCTACTTCATGTTTTTGGCGAGATGAAACAAATTCCATCAATGTATTTCTCCACGCAAGTAGAGATCACAAAAGTAAATTAAATAAGAATAAATCTTTTCATCCTCACTTACTTGAAATATTCAAGCAACTACTTACAAAGGTTCATACAGCTCTACACCACTTTAGGTTCCCAACTATCCGATTTTGTCGGCATGGCTGAAGTCACTCCTTCTCTTGCAATTGAAACAATTCTTGACACAGTGACCCTTTGGCATCATCTGCTAGGTCT